AATCCAGGCTGAAGACTTTTCTTTTTGCCGCTGCTTTTAATTGAACTATTCACATCTTAAACTGCACTGTAACTTTTAACTTTTATCCATGTATTTTTTCTTTTAATGTTTATTTTATTATCTTTCCTTTTTAATGACTGATTTTAAATGCCATTTTTAAAATGTCTTCCATTTTTGTAAAGCACTTTGAATTACCTTGTGTTGAAAGGTGCTATATAAATAAACTTGCCTTGCCTTGCCTTGCCTTACCACAACTACTACTAACGAATCTAAAACAACTAAGTTTCTCTAATATTTTGTGATTTGCATTTGATTTCGTCCAGCCAGATCAGGAAACTCCTGGCGTATCTGGCGGACAACACACACACGGGATGACCCACTCTGATGCCTCGTCCTAAAAAGCCCCGGCAGCCGCTTGCAAAGCTGCGATAGGCAAGATGCCGAAAACGCCTATAAGGGGAGGAATGGATGATATACAGTGTATATATGTATATTTACGCATGATCATTTTGTACATTTCTAAAAATAAAGTTTGATGGAAATACTTAGTAGGCCTATCCTTTCTTCCCTGAATTATTTGCTCCTATAACATATCATTCATATATAGCAAACCATGATTTGATTTCTCATCAAACAATAGTAGTTTATTACAGGTAAAAATAACTTACTCTTCTATAACAACAGTTGTAGGTACAGTTCGGTTAGTTAACGTATAAAATATACGGCTGTACCGAGGCCATTATAAGACTGTTGTTCCGCTGAGAGCGAGCCGAAAAATGCACTGTTAGACATGGGCGGAGCCTCTCTGGTGGTTGACTAATCAGAACAGAGTGGCCGAGCTGACCAATCGGAGCACACTAGGCTCACAGGGAGGGGGGGGCAAGAGCTCCAACGAGCCGTTTAGTGGAGAGAGTGAATACTGTTGAATACACATACTTTACAGAGATGCTGTATGCGAAACCAATGTGAGTTTGGAAAATTGCACAGTATAAATCTATTTTAGTATACCTCAACAATGGAATTATGATCAGTGGAAATGGCCATGACACCTCTCCTTTAAGTGCCATTTTAATCTCCTTGACCTTGTACTTAATTTGTTGAACTCTTTTAAAAATGACGGCTACTTTTATACTCCACTACATTTCAGAGGATATCCACTGTGTACTCCACCACATTTCTTTACTAGCCTACCTATAATTGTTTTGCAGATTAAGATGAATAATTCAGAAAGTAATGTGGATTATTACGAAGATACAACATGACAGCCTGGCACTATGAAGTTTTTAATTATTAATTAATAATAATTATTCAATTATCCAATATTTATTATTTTTGATTGGGATATTCTTTTGAATTGGTATTTTAGTTTGAATACTTTTAGTGTACTTTGATGACAGCACTTACTAATTACTTTTACTTTTTGTAGGGTAGGTAAGAATGGAGAAACCAGCTGAGTAAACTAGAATTTGAAAGTACACAACCGAAAAAAATCTGCCCCTTCCTTCAGAGCCCCTCCTCCAACACACACGGACGTGCACATGACCAATGAGGGCACGAGATAAGTTTGCGCACGAGATGGAAGGCTGACAGGCAGGTAGGCCATCCAATTATCTGCCACGGGCCAAGGCAGATCATTGGACTTGCTTTTTACAGCGCCACGGCTTCCACAGATGAAATATTTGTTCATCAGTATACGTTGGCTAATTCACAATACATGTGCTCCTTATCTTTGCAGATTAAGTCTAAGCCTTTATGGTGGATACCTTTACCGGAAGATATACATCTGTATTATCGTTAACTTGATACTGAACCGAGTCAAATTAAAAGAGGGTGCGTTGGGTAAATCTGTGCGCTCCGCCCTGTAAACCCACAGCGTGCGGCAGGCCCGGCTCCAGGATGAAATGACTGAGGGGGCTGTTAAAAAATCCGAGGGGGCGATTTTTTTTTCACAACAACGAAAAATACTGGCAATGTAATTAATTGACACACCAAGCTTTTTTCCTTCTCACTGCTCTACAATCTCTTTGCTTCTTTATTTTTATTCTGGATTTACCCCTCTCATTCTGTTCTTTTCCTCTGATCTTTAATAATAGATAGTACATTATTAGATGGCTGCACTTTGTTTAACAGACTAATATTGATTCCCTCAATTTATAAATGGACAGGCTCTGTAATTATACCATAATACCTTTTCTCCTCTATCCCTTAACTCGTCTTCCTATACAGATTTACTTACCTCTAGTCAGGCCAGGATTAAAGAAACATTAATCTGGTTGATTTTTTATTTTCAGGATTGAATGTTCAAATCAAGGCCTAAAACCTGGCATTTCATAAGAAAGTGACTAATATATAAACCAAATGTAATATTGGATCAAATACCACACCAAATGGACAAATGGAAGTCCCCTGGTTTGTCTCTAGAGTCTAACTGCCATGAGAAAAATCAAATCAATGTTCCAAAATCCGTCACTAGATGTCGCTCATTGTACCAATACGGTTGATATAATACATAACATATTATTATTCTAGTAAAAGGGCTCGCTTTGGCAAAAACCTGATCCATACAGGCATTGCAGCCCTAAATAATAACAAGTAACCATCATGTGTGGTGCTATCTGTAGTTGTCTGTCTTGTTTTTTGTTGATGTCATATTGTTTTCACAGTGCTGTGAATTTCCCCCTGGGGACAATTCAAATCAATGTTCCAAAATCCGTCACTAGATGTCGCTCATTGTACCAATACGGTTTATATAATACAGATTACCACAACAGTGCTGTGGAAATGAATTTCCCCCTGGGGACAATAAATCTAATCTAAACTAATTTAATATTCAATCCCACACTTAGCGATTGAGAACATAAATTCGTAATTTACCTCGTTTAAAGCACTTTTGTTGTAATACTATGAATTTAGTTGACACTACTAGCCGAGTTTCTTTTGTCCAATATTTCGCGGGCAGGTACATTGAATTAGAAGTAGAAGAAGAAGAGGTAGAAGAAGAAGTAGTAGAAGAAGAAATACGCCAACGCTACAAACAGGCACAACACTGTTACTCTGTTTTTACTGACATATAACATTTTATTTCACCTTGCTCTATGTTTTTTAACGCACATTCAAAAACGGGAACATTTTCAGGAGTTTCAACCGGGTACCGGCCACCGAAAACGGGGACTCTGCCGTTTTGGTCACCCATCCGACTGTGTTTACAGCTAAGCATACACGCTAACATTAAAGGTGGGGTAGGTAAGTTTGAGAAACCGGCTCGAGATACACTTTTTGTTATATTCCATGGAATGCTCTTAACATCCCGATAGCAATGAATATCTTAAGTGCTTTGACAAAAAATCCATAAAAAAAATTCATCTGTGGAAGCCGTAGTACTGTAAAAAGCACGGCCAATCATTTTAGCCGGCCCGGCTAAAATAACTGGATGGCCTACCTGCCTGTCAGCCTTCCATCTGTGCACAAACTTATCTCGTGCCCTCATTGGTCATGTGCGCGTTCATGTGTGTTGGAGGAGGGGCCCTGTAAGGAAGTGGCAGATTTTTTCCGGCTGTGTATTTTCAAATTCTAGTTTACTCAGCTGGTTTCTCCAAAATTACCTACCCCACCTTTAAGTCAAAGTACAAAAGTATTGGCCTCAACATATAGGCCTAGTTAAAGTAGCAAAAGTAAAAGTACTTATTATGCAGATTGGCCCATTTCAGAATAATATATGATATGTTTTGACTATAATTATCAAAGCATTCAAGTGTTTATCAAAGCTGGTAAAGGTGAAGCTAATTTTAATTACATCATGCAGTGTAGCTTGTGATTTTACTACGGGTCAAACTTAAGTCTTAAGTGTTGATTATATTTTCACGTCATTTAAACAAAATCTACAAAGTAATTAAAGGTATTAAATAAATGTAGTAGAGTAAAAGTACACCATTTACCTCTGAACTGTAGTGGAGTAGAAGTACAAAGTATAGCAAAAAATGTAAATACTCAGTAAAGTACAAGTCCATGAAAATTGTACTTAAGTACTGTACCTAAGTACAGTGCCTAAATACATGTACTTAGTTACACCACTGCCATTAAGTATATTTTTTCATTTACTATATCATAATGTATATGGTCACCATATTTTCATCTGAAAAGTAACAAAATTGTCAAATAGATGTCAGGTAAAAAGGAAAATATTTCACTCTGAAATTATGTGATGAAATGGAAATACTCAAGTTCATCAAAATTGTACTTAAAGGTAGGGTAAGAATGGAGAAACCAGCTTGAGTGCGCTAGAATTTGAAAGTATGCAGCCGAATAAAATCTGCCCCTTCCTTCAGACTTCCTTACAGAGCCCCTCCTCTAACACACACGAACGCACACATGACCAATGAGGCCACGAGATAAGTTGGTGCACGAGATGGAAGGCTGACAGGCAGGTAGGCCATCCAGTTATTTTAGCCGGGCCGGCTAAAATGATTGGTCGTGCTTTTTACAGCGCCACGGCTTCCACAGATGCATTTTTTTAATGTATTTATTGTCAAAGCATTTAATTTATTCATTGCTATCAGGATGTTAAGAGCATTCCATGGAATATAACAAAAAGTGTTTCTGAAGTGAATTACCTACCCTACCTTTAAGTAGAGAACTTGAGTAAATGTAGTTAGGTGACTTAAATATTGTGGAAACTCAAATGATTAAGATGTATTTATGTTTTAAAATGGAAATACAAGAGCAACATAGGCAAATAAATGATTAATCATTATGCATATAATAATCTCATAGCCTATTCATATACTTTATGATTGTCAATGGCAAAGTAAGGGGGAACTTACTCATCAATAGAACAGGAACTTCCAACTGCTGCCAAGACGTCACACTATTCATATTCTAGGGTTCAATCAGTTTTGTTTGATTTTGTTTTTGTTGATTATCTTTTTCTATAATTGATCTAAATCTTCAAAGTATAACTAAAAAAGTACAAAGGACAATTTGTTCCTCTGGGTTAACTTAACAAGCCTCTTTATTGCTACTGTCACCTTACGATTCATTGTATTGCATTGTGTTAAAAAAAAATGTAGAAGGAGGGAGGGACATATAGAAAATGGGTGGACCAAAGACACATGACGAAGACTAAAGTAGAAGTTCAACAAACAAGGATATTAGTTCTTATACCCATCTGACTCTGACGCAAACAGAAGCGGAAAGACACAGATAAAGTGCAGTGAAGACAGAGGACTTGCAGAAAGAGATCAGGATGAAGCGACACCATGAGAAGTTATCTATCTCTTTGGTGATCACTGTCCTCTGTTTGGGGAGCCTGCTGACAACTGCTTTCTGGATCATTGTGGACAACAGGTAAGCGTGTCATACTTGTTCCAACAACCTGGTATATGTTCCTCACAAGGCATAATTTGTTTTAGTTGTTAAGTGTTCTGATTTGGTGGAACCTCAAACATGTAAGTTAAGGTAAGTAAAATATATTGATTATGTCTAAGACAGAAATGTACATTCACACAAAGTAATAAGATTATTCATTCTGAAGACAACATGTGTTACTTTGTTATACCTACATTTCTTCTTTTGGACTGAGTTCATGTTTATTATTAGATCAAAGTAAAGTTTTTAATTATACATTAATATAATTTATTTAGTTAAAAGCAAAAACGTTTTATAATGAACATCATTTTTTTTTACCGTAAATAAATTACATTTACTACTATATCAAAGAAGAATCTTGACTTTTAAACTTAAAACGCTTCGTTACACTCAGTTAAAGACAGGAATATTCTCTTCAAAAGACCTTAACATTTATTGAGGTGTCTTTAAAATATGCATCACCTATTGAGGGACTGCGGATGGAAATGAGCTCAAAGCTAAATCTGGCACTGTTACGCTTGACACATTTTAATGTTTTAAGTGTTCATTACAGTGCATTATCCCTGCTAAATAAACGATAACAATTATGTTTTATTATAAAAAACACCTCCCAAAAAACTCCCAACATTTTAAAAATAAAATTAATGCAGTTATTTTCTTTTGCTGACTACGCATCCTCTGGAACTTTACATTAAACAAAGAACCCTTGCATTACACTGTATTTGAATACAAGCGTTAGAACAAAAAACATGCTGTATTCAAAAGTCTTTCATGTATCCAATACTTAAAGCTTGACACTCAGACTGCAAACTCTGCGTGTCATTTTCTTTGGTTCAATCGCCATGAACGTTTTCTGCAGTGCATCAAAGGTGTATTTGAGCTCACTGGGATAGCTCAAGTTTAGAGCAAAGATGAAGCCCAATAACATGGCACATGCATGTGCAACTGATGGCATCTTATTGAACACTTCCACACCTTCAACGATGAGTCCAATGTGCTGTGGTGGCAGGAGAGGATCATTGAATTAGAAGTAGAACAAGAAGAAGAAGGAGAAGAAGTAGAGGAAGAAGAAGTAGAGGTATGGAAGAAGAAGAAGAAGTAGAGGTAGAAGAAGAAGAAGTAGAGGTAGAAGACGAAGGCCGTGTCTCAATTCAGGGGCTGCACCCTTCGGAGTACGCAGCCTACGCGGTCCACGGAGGACCCAGCCCACGTAGACCGGGTAGGCTGGACCGAGCGGCCTACGAAATGAGACGGTCTAGCCCAGTGGTTCTCAACTGGTGGGTCGCGACCCAAAAGTGGGTCGCGGACCCGTTTCGAGTGGGTCGCGGATGTGTGAGTGAAGAAAAAAAAGTTGAAAAAAAAATTTGAATTTTTTTTTTTTTTTTTTTTGGGGAAAAACTCAAACTTTTATTTTGAAGGCCCGATTTTCTTCTCAGAGTGTACCAGAATGCGTAGTTTATGTTAGTATTTCTAAAAATCTCCTGGGGGAGAATCCCCCAGACCCCCCTGCTGGGGTTGGGTTTCAGCATGTGTGCCTTTTTATATAGTTCAGCTTTGATTCCATCATCACATTAAACCTTTTTTAAAAGCATACTTTAGTTCTGTGAAGGGATATAAGGGATATATGCACTGTACTTCACTTTTATTAATATTGTATGCTCAAAAGCGTATATATTACAGCACGATATTTTGTTGAATAGATTTGAGTGCTTCAAAATGTTGGGTCGCGATGTATTGACCAAGTAAAAAGTGGGTCCCGAGGCCTGACCAGTTGAGAACCACTGGTCTAGCCTACGGAGCGCTTCGTATTTATGTCACGTGATACGCGCTGTTCGGTTGCGTTGCTCCAGCAGCCTGCTAGCAAATTAGCTTACAAGCTAACTCAGCTGAAAAGGATCCAGAAACTTTACTACTTTTACATTTTTTGGAGATCACCGTCGGCGATGAATTAAAGAGGACCATGGCCAGGTAAATAAGATGAAGCTGTTCCTTTAGCCCCCAGTAATGTTACATTAGTAAGTTAACAAGTAAATTATATATAGCTGATGTAATTTAATCATATTATTTCATATTTAAAATAAGTCTTAATTTTTCTGTACTAATAAAACAATATGTTTTTTAAATGAACAAAAGCATGTTGTATAGATTGATTCTTAACAATATTAGTCTTCTAATCTTAATAGCTGTGATCATAACAGTTTATATTCTCCTTCTTCCCCTAAACCTGCCCAGATGATGTCCCACTGACCCCAGGTCAGCACCTCCAGGTCCAGCAGCACCGTGACCCCCCCGCTCTGCTGAAATACACAATTAAACATTTTCTATGACCTTTTTTTTGTATTAATAAAATTAAACTGAAGACAGTTTAATGACCTAGAGATATCCTATTATTCCACTGCTTATGTGTACATGTTGGAAATAATGGTTAAAACCTCAGTAAATGAAATAAACAATGTGTTTAACAATTACAATTTAATATTGTATTTTCATCTTATCACAAAGTAGAGGTAAGAATATATCCATCCTCTCTCTGCAGCTTCATGTCTTCTATTATTATAACTTTCATCATTGAGACAGAGGAAATCAATCATGTTATTTAACATCAGCAGTAAAACAAATATCAGCAAAAGTGTGTTTATGCAGTTGTTTATTTGTATTATATGTGCAGCAAGTATATAGAAGCAGTTGTTTGGGGAATCAGACAGACTCAAGCTGTAATCGTTACATATCTATTAAAAGAAAGGACACATGCAAAATCATATTCTGAAACTAAGACACAAGTCTGTAGGACGGCAGTAAGCAGAGGTCTGGGTGGAGGATGTTCCTGATCGCCGTTTTGCTTTCTTCAGCACCACGGGGGGTCCAGGTGGATGGCAGCTCTGTCCTGATGATCCGCTGGGGTTAGGGGTCCTTCTCCAGCACCACGGGGTCCAGGTGGATGGCAGCTCTGTCCTGATGATCCGCTGTGCACTTTTCAGATCAGGGGTCCTTCTCCAGCAGATCCATTTCTCCAGAATTTTACTAATTACAGAGAAAAACAAGAGAAAAATAAAAAAGTGAATTAATCATATTAAACACAGGGTTGTAGAAGTATTATTGCAAAATGTAACTCTAAGCATTTCAGACAAACAATCCCTAAAGGATCATTTAAAATTATGTACTATTCTGGTTTTTAAAAAACTAAAGAGATGAAGACAGTCACACGTGCATCCCTTTGACAGCACGGCACAAACTAACATCAAGCAAAAGGCTGCTGTCTATTTTTGATTGTCTTATTATTATGGGATTAGGATAAATTAAATAAACTTTAACCTTATAAAAGATGATCAAATCTGGTGGAAATATTTAAAATAGGCTTTTCTTTTAGCCCTACCTCAAAGCAGCATGAGCTGAACACAAAGGTTGTAATGTTGTCCCAAAGTTTAATAAACAGTAAAACATTGCTACATGTCAGAGAAATAAATAAAGCAAACAGCAGCTACACGTCAGGGTAGCCTTTTATAAATCCCACCGTACTGTAGGCTATACCGGTCTAAATGTCACTTTGGTCTATTTATGTAATATAAAGTATAACTTATCTATAACAGAGCCAAGATCTCTGTATGACTTTAGTAAACTTCTGAATTGAATTAAAAATAAGTGTAAACAACAGTGCAGTACGTCCAGCTAGATAGTTAGCGTCACATATTTATCCGTATTATTTAACGAAAATGTACGTTTTAATGCCCCTTGGGTTTGACGTGTGTGACGTTAGTTAATTTAAAGTAAGTTAAAACCCAATACTCACATTTATTAGTGATTCCTCCGCTTGCTGTTGCTTTTAAATCCACTCTGCTGGGGAGACCAGAAGCCATTTCATTTGAAAAAAACTCACTCTTCCCTGCGTGCATTGCACCCTGGGATATGGTAGGCCGCGGAGTGTACATCAGATGTATCCTTCAAATTGGGGAAAAGTAGGCTGCATTTGTGGGCCACATTCGAAGGAGTCTCGTCTTTTTTTTAAATTGGGACAGCCTTCTTTCGGCGGAAGTGACGTATGCGGTCTACGAATGCACCCTTCGAAGGATGAAACCCCTGAATTGAGACACGGCCGAAGAAGAAGGAGAAGAAGTAGAAGAAGAAGAAGTAGAGGTAGAAGAAGAAGAAGTAGAGGAAGAAGAAGAAGAAGTAGAGGTAGAAGAAGAGGAAGTAGAGGTAGAAGAAGAAGAAGTAGAGGTCGAAGAAGAAATACGCTAACGCTACAAACAGGCACAACATTAGGGGCGTTCACACCAAGTACTTTTCCCACAGTACACTCAAAAAACTAAAACGATGATGTACTCAATTTAATTGGTGAAACATTTTTACACTTAAAAATATTGAGTCAATCTTAAAGCTGTGAAATCATTTAAATTTACCTTATGAATTGAGTAAATGTAAGTAAAAAAATCAAGTGGGTCTAAATAACTACATTTAGTACCATAACATATACAATTGAGTAAATATAATTAAAATCCTAAGTCAATGCAATAGTAACCCTAAGCCAAAACCACTATTTCTTTTTAGTAGATATCACTTAAATGCTAGGTAGATGTAACTGAAAAGGAGACTATTATTTAACAAAACAAATGTGTGAAATTTACTCGATGTTTTTAACTACATTTAATTAAAACTGGACTATTAATTATATAAATATATGTGTTACATTTACTTATTTTTTTAACTGTATTTACCCTTTACTCCAGGAGTGCTTTACCTGAGGTCAATACATCTAATAAAACCAAAAGAGCAATTGTACACATTGACATTTTAATTACATATTTATTGTTCAAATTTGACCAGTATAACACATCACATTAAGTCTCAACCTGGTTTAGTTTGCATATTACATTTGTAACAATTAGGGGCTGTTCTTGACAAAATACATTTTTAGTCGACTAACACTCGTACACATTTGATGACTAATCGATTAAATCAACATATTCTTCACAAAGAATCAC